AGTTATAGAAGACAGGCAGGCAGGCAGGCATTCAACAGGGCATCTGCTATCCAGTGAGGGATTGTTTGAATATTTGTTTCTGGATAGCAAAGACCTCAGAGCAATTCCTTCATCATTTCATGCTGAAAGCATGCTTTTTATAAAAAAAAAAAAAAACTTGTTTGTCTTACTTCCACCTGCTTGTTTGTTTTTTTCTTTCCTCTTTTACAACTTTATACACTGTGGAAACATTGTAAAACTGTAGTAAGCAGGCAGCCTTGAGCTTGCCAATACAATTGTAAAGGTTCTACTGAGGAATTGCAACTATGTGGAATCTCACCGCTGTCATAAGAGGACAAGGGGAAAAAATGAAGTTATCTGTTTCTAAAAATGTACGTTTCCTAGCAAAACAGGGATCTTAAAGGCTATCATCTAAGAATGTTTGAATACAGGTAGTCTTTGACTTACAACCAACAGTTGATCCTAAAATTTATGTTGCTAAGTGAGACAGTTAAATTAGTTTTGCCTCATTTTAGGATCTTTCTTGCCACCGTTGTTAAATGAATCACTGCCATTGTTAAGTTAGTAACACGGTTGTTAAGTGAATCTGGCTTCCCCATTCCACTTTGCCTGTCAGAAGGTCGCAAAAGGGGATCAGGACACTGCAAACGTCAAAAGTACTTGCCAGTTGCCGAGCATCTGAATTTTGATCACGTGACCATGGGGATGCTGCAGAGGTCATAAGTGTGAAAAAGGTCATAAATCACTTTTTTTCAACGCTGTCGTAACTTCGAACGATCACTAAACAAATGGTTGTAAGCCAAGGACTACCTGTAGTAGCTTTTTCCCTCTACAAACCTGAATAAACGCAACAGTCAAAATATTCCTTTTTTCATTCTCTTTCTAGGATTTAGGATTTGAAAAGGCACTGACTGGTTTTTAAGCTTGAAAGCGTCACCATGTCCAAAGAGGTAAAGGAACGGTGGCTGGCGATGATGGATACAGTACATAGCAACTCACATGTAAGTTACGGAGGACTTTTTATAGCTTTAGGTGACATTTTCCTTCTGTTTAGGGAAAGGCAAGCTGAGCTAAGAGCAGGTGTAAATAAAAATTGGACGGGAAGGAGAATTATCCTTCCTTTTTTCTTGTCTCCAAGCCATCTTTACGTAATAACTAGGCTAAAATTTGGCAAGCTGTTTTGCGGGAACCCAACCAGTACGGTTGGGTTTTGGTAGGGCAAAGATCAGCTAATTGGGTTAATGCAACAGATCGTGTTAAATAATGCACTAGGCTGTGCGAATACAAATTTACAAAGTTATTGGGGGAAATAACCAAGTGTGTTTGGATATGACTCCAACCACATCGTCAAAGGTTCCATCTTTTGTGTGTGTGTGAGACAGAGAAGAATAGTAGGGCCTCCTTGTGTGGTTGTGGCTGCCATATTGATTTTTTTGACCTCTCTTAGTGGATAACCTTAGTGTAAAATCTTAGTTCTCACCATCTTTCTCCCGTGATTTGTTTATTTTTCTCTGTGCATGTGTGAACTCAAGCAGCCTGGTTTATCAAATCAGCCTTTATGAATCCCTGCTTTATCTTAACAAAAACACTTCAATAAATCATGGTTAAGACAAGCAAACTTAGTGTATTGTGCAAACAGCCTCTGACTAACAGTGCAACCTTATATTGGTTTATATCTCTATAACAAGCCCTCAAAACAAGCTCTGATGATTCTACCTAGATGGGTAACAAAACGTTTTTCAAACTCAGAGAACACTAAGGATTATTATTATTATTATTATTATTTTGGTAAATTTTATTTGAGTTTTCACAGAGAAAAAAAATACAAATAAAACATCTTTTTGAAAGTAGCGTAATCCCGGGTTACATTTCTTCGTACAGACACAAATTCAGGTTCATGCTCATTTTTATATTTTATTACTTTATTACCATATCTTATTACTACTTTACATTTTCTGCAAAGCTTCTCCCCTCTTTTAATTTTCTCAATTTTATTTTAATTATCTCATCTCAATTCAAATCATTGTATTTATATTTTTTGTCTGTCCTGTTTCAATTATCTATTATCTTTTCTCATTAAACAAAATTTATCCTGTAGTTACTGATTGGAGTATGACGCCTTTATATCTTTTCCCTAAAGTTGTAACATTCAATATAATACATAACTTCCATTCGGATTCTGCTTGGTTACATTCTTAAAATACACACTGTATTCTTAAAAAAAAGAAAAAAATATAAATATAAATAATTAAAACAGAGAACACTAAGGATTCTAAACCCCCCCTCCCCTTTTTTTTGTTTTGCTAAGGCAGTTGAATCTCTGAACATTTTGAAATAAATTTTAACTTTGCAACTAAATATAATTGTATGTTCTTGATACTTAGGAAAGATGGTTTCATCCTGATATTCAGGGCTTCTGTCCTAAATTCACGACAGATTCATAGTAGAGTCACACTTAAACAACACACACATAGTCCTCGACTTACAACTATTCACTTAACGACCGAAGTTACAATGGCACTGACTGTGGCAGCATCCCCATGGTCACATGATCAAAATTTGGACACTTGGACAATGGCATGTATTTGTGGTCACGTGATCACCATTTGCATCCTTTCCAGCTGGCTTACGACAAGCAAAATCAAGCCAGATTTGCTTAAATGACCGGATGGTTCGCTTACCAACTGCAACAAGAAAGGTCGTAAAACTGAGCAAAACTCACTTAATAACTGTCTCCCTTAGCAACATAAATTTTGGGGCTCAATTGCAGTCGTAGGTCGAGGACTACCTGTATTAGGCTCGCCTTAATTCAGTGATTTCCTCCTGAAATAACTTCGCTTCCCAGAATGAACCCCCCAGATCTTTAAAGACATTTCCCTTTGTTCCATTTATATCCCAGGTGGTTGCGTTTATGAACTCCAGAGTTGGCCAGTATTTAGATGATCACCCTTACGTCGCCCTCTCCCTGATGGTATTTATTGCTGCCTCGGCCATCCCCATTGCGTTTTTCCTGGTTTTTGTCGTCAGTACCACGGTCCTGGCATGCATTGGAGTGATCGTCATGGAAGGTATTCACGCCTTCAGGGAATTGGGGTTGGGATGATGATGCCACCGTGGAGACAGTTGCAGCCTTTAAAAGGAATTTAGAGCTTTCAACGTGACTCGTCCTTCAAGGCTACCCAATGACAATAAATAAAGTTAAACTTGGTTGAAGTTTAATGGCAGGAGGCCTGTTTCCTTGGCAACAGTGCAGAAGTAATTCTTCATTGCCTCCTTACAGTATTTTATTCACTCTCCTAGTCTAGTCTAGTACCCTAAGATATCTTAGGGGCCTCCCAGACAAGAACTAACCAGGCCTTACTTACTCTGCTGAGCTGTCTAGACCAGCCGTAAATTTGCTAGTTGCTGCCACCTATTGACAATGAAGCAATAAAGAGATTCCCTAGAGAAGCCATAAGTCTAATTGCATCTCCTTCTTGCTAGGTTTTGTAATATCCTTAGGTGGTGTCACCTTGCTTTGCATTCTTGGTGGATTGGGCATGCTGTCGCTGCTGGTTTCCGGAATGCTGAGCGTTTGTTACCTGTCTCTTACAACCCTGCTCAGCTACTGGCCCATTCAAGAGTAAGTACCACAGGTCTGATAATAAATTATATTCCATATATTGTTCCAGAGCAGCCAAAAACGATAGGATTATGTAGAAGAGCAGGTAGAGATTGGAGGTGGAGTCAAATGAGGATGTAGCCTAGAATCCTTATGTGTCCACAAATGCTCCAAGCCCAGACCCCCTTGACTTTTGTTAACTCTTATCTAGCACCAATTTAGTGCTGACCATTACTGGACTGGAATCTTGTCCTAAGCTTGAGCAATAAATTTTCTGAACTGGAATTTACATGTCATCTTGATTCTTCACGCCTGACAGAGCAGTCCACATTTGCTGCCTTGACTACCCTTCAAACAAGGAGTCATGCAAATGTTTTGAAGGAAATTCAGTTCCAACAGATCGGTGGAGCTCCTGCATTGTGCTGAACTACAGTTTGCTTTAACTGTAGATTGTGAACAAGCTGTAACGAACTAAAGTTTTGAACCATGGTTCACAAGCCTCAGAAAGTAGCTTCACTCTAAGGCAAGTTAATGTTTTGCTTGACTGTGTATCGTTCACAGACCAGGTTTTATAATAAACCTCTCTTGTGTGTGACTCATTTGACAAACCACGGTTGCACAAGCCAGCTTGGCACCGTTTCTTGCCCCAGTCACTGGCTTAGCAGTATAAATTCAAGGAAAAATAAAGCACACTTTGTGATTCATTTATTCCCCTCCAGGCTGTATCCAGTCCCTGAGCTGTCAGTGGCAGCACAGCTCATTTCTGCAGGATTTTGAAGAGTTAACAATTACTGTATTTTTTTTATACCTCTGCTACAGCCTATTTTATTCCTTCTCTAAGCTATTTCCACTTAAGTTATAATTGCAACATGGGCTCCATTCTCCCCACAAACCAATGTCAGCTCTCATTTGTGGCCATTCACATCCCACACTTATCCACAACCTCAAAAATTATATTTAGCTTGTGGTCCAAGCTCCCAATCTCTGTGATTAATTTATATTTCACCAGATTTTACATGTGCATTCCCCTTCGTTGAACACGCCATGCAGTGGCACAACAAGCCAACTCAAGCCACAGAGATAAGAGTTTCTGCTGGAACCGACAATCAGCCTAAACAACAAATTGGCAATTGATGCTAAATAAAATAACACAACCTCCAAACCCATCTAGAGAAAGACATGTCAGCATTTTTTAAAAAAATTCAAGGCAGAAGGAAGGGCCTTCGGTTGTCCTTTGAAACAGCTCCCGAAACAAGGTCACGAAGTCATGAATATTATGAAATGCTGAATAGCGGTCCTGTTCACTAATGAGATGTCACCCATGACAGTTGCAATCTTGATCCCTTTTTGTGTGTATGTCTCTCTCTCTCTCTCTCTCAGGGGCCCCATGAAGAGAGAGAATGCCAATGGAAGCGGTTTTGTCTCCAAGAACCTTTTTGACGAAGAACCAGAAACGACTAACAAGGAGTGTGAATAAATTGGATAGCGGCTCAAAATGTCTCCGACAGTAGCACTTTAGGGGTGGGGGGTGGGGGAAATGTAGCTGGGAAAAACATCCTTGTTACTGTATTCTATAGAATTGTTTGCCCACCGAGAGGATCAGGGTTCAGCTTCTTATTACGGGAATTAGAGACGGATTTCTCCAGAGGCTGCCGCGGAGATAGCGGAGCCCTCACTCCAATTATTTCGGGAACCTTCTCAGCAGCTTTTAGGCAGGCTTTTCCACGTACGGCTGCTCCTGGAGTCCAGGAACCCAAGGACCCGTGTTGAATTTCACATGGGAAGCAGGACAGGGGGATCTCTTTAAGCCCGACTGCATTGCTGGCGACAGCAAATGGAACAGACACCAAATTACAGCCGATGCATCTCTTCCTGATGGCGTTTCGGTTGGGGTTAGGTCAAACATTTTTGATTCTTTGTTTCTTGAGTATTGGGGAATTGTGTTTTATCATTTGTTTTTTTGTTGTATTTAGCAGCTTGGCAGAAAGCTGGTTGGTTAAGCACAGGGGCTTCTCCTATGCCGAATATCGGTCACTTCTAGCCCTAGTTTGAATGTTTTCTTTTTTTTAAGTGTTTTTCTTCTGCTTTGTTGCTAAAGCTGTCATCAGATATACATTTGCCACTAAACTGTTACTTTTCATCCAAGCTGTCTCTGTCCCATTTCTCAGTTTGCACCAATGGTATGAATGTTGTAGCAACGTTTCAGCAGAATCTCATCTGCCATCATCAGGCTTCTGTATTGTATGAGATTCTGCCGAAACGTCGCTACAACTTTAAAAGCACAACTACAATGACGTGGGAAAATACCCGAACAAAGCTGAATACCATACATGTAAGTACCCGCGAAAACTTAAGGAATATAT